ACCTACGTGATGACCAGGCTGTAGCCATGACATAAGCTGCCGCAATTCTGAGAACTGGCCTCAAGGAAATGGGAACAAACCGACCCTGGAACTGAAGGCTGACTGTACCTAAAGCAGTCAAGATGACGCTGGTCGGAGCATCGCAGGACCAGTTTCAAGGTGAGTGTCAGAGCTGACTGTGCTGTTGCTGCATGTAGCGCCCTCCCTCCGTCTACAAAAGCTCTTGGCCCCTGACTGTCAGTAGGGGGGAGTCAGCCTTTGGACAGGAGTCCCCCCCCCTCCCCCCTTGGGTTGCCAGCATTGGAAAGAAAGCAAACTTTCCTTTCCACCGAACTTGCCTCTTTATTGGCTTTTGAGCAGCAAGCAGCACCCGTAACAGTCCACTCGGAAACTGGATGGCTAAAATAAGGACGATTGGTTAAACTTGCTTAAGGAGAGACTAAGCCCCAGATGCCCTCCTCACTCCACCCAGCTGGGTGAATCAATCCTCCTCCACTCGGGCAGAAACGGGAGGTTTATCCTCTCGAGAGGATATGATACAGGCTCCTTGGACTTGAAGAATGCTGAGCACAATTCACAGTCCGAGTCTGTACCAGAATTAGGGGGACTGGGTTAAAAAAAAATATAGGCACACGGCGTGCAGCGTGTGAGACCTCTGCCCACCTTCTCCCGGTCTCCACTGTCCCGCTTCTCCCTCGGACCCCAGACCTTTACCCTCCAGCAGGAGATTGGGTGAGTCCTCTCTGAGGAATCTGACATTTCCAGAGGAGAAGACTTAAAGATGTTGAGTTGGTGGGAGGATTCTGCACAAAAGGCCCCAATAGTTCATCTTACACTGAAGTCAAATTCTATGAGCTCCATCTATGCCCTCAGAGCTCCCAAATAGTTTTTTAGTTTCCCGTTCTTACATGTGAGCAAACAACCAAGGGTAACGCAACATCTTTCTACTGAGAAACAATGAGACCAAGACAAACAAAAACTCAGTAGGAACAGACTATGCAGGAGGGGAAAAAAACCTCTCCTCATTACCCTCCTGCAAAAACAAGCTTGCCATTAACATCTTCAAGAGATTAAAAAAAAAATCCATGAAATAAGATCAAGAAGCTATAAAAGTAATATTCAGATGACAAAAAAAGACCTCTTGAATGTTATAAAAGTAAAAACTGCAGCAGAAGTTAGAAATTCAGTAAAAGGGTTGAAAGAGAAAGTTGAGGAAACCTCCTAGAAAGTAGAGCAAAACAAAACAAAGGCAAACCACACACATATACAAACACAAAACCAACAAAAGATATAGGATAAAGAGAGAAAAGTGTTTTTTTTTTTTTTTAATTTACAAGGCCAGTCCAGGAGATCTAACACCCAAATAGCGGGTTCCAGGGAAAACAGAAAAAAAATAGAGAAAAATCAACAAAATAATTCAAGAGAATTTCCCAGAACTGAAGGACATGGGTTTTCACATTAATTTTTGGCCCGATGGAGTAAATGAGACCCAGACAAAAGAAATAAATGAAATTTCAGTGTGAACTTCTTCAGTCTGGAGCACACGTGATGAGGGTGTAACAGCCTACTGTTGTCAAACCATCTTTTTAACTTGAGAAGCAACTGGAAGGTATGCTACACTAAAACAAGAGAGCATGTGAGAAAGAGGAAGATGTGTGATTCAGGAAACAGGGACTCCAACTCAGAAGACAGGCCAAGGGAAGCCCTCTAATCACAGCGCAGAAAAGTCCTGGAACAGCCCTGCAGTAAGCCTAGAGAAAAAGCAGTCCAAACAAGAAAGGAACGGGAGTAAATAAGAAAAACCTGGAACTCAGAGTTCACGTAATATGATGGACTTTGTGGACTATTGTTCTGAGGGGCTATTATAAGCTGTAGGAATAAGTAGCAAATAGATACAAAGAAAACTAGGCAAGTGAAGAAACAAGGTGATTATTAACATAAGGAAAAACAAAACGAGAAGAGAAAGGCAAAACAGACAAAAAGGACATAAAAGACCTCCTTCCAGCTGAGTCAGCTCTCCGAGAGCAGGTTTTCTGGAAATTACGCTCACAACTTTGTGCTTATATCTGAGTGGCCAGAACTTAGTCCTGTGGTTCTGCAGAGCTGTAAAGGAGGCTGGGAAATGGGGTCTTTCATCTCAGCCGCCAACGCGCTCTACTGAAAACTGATGTTTCGTTACTGAGGAGGAAAGGGAAAATTCATGTTGGAGGAGACAAGTAACGGTCCTGTCACAGACAGTTGCTTTCCTCAAGATGGCACTGCACAATGAACACACAGCTGACAAAAACCTTTATGAACTACATAACATGGCACCGAAACATATAAAGCAAAAACTACAGGAAACACAAAATCAAATCATTAATAAGCTACCTCTCCCCCAAAGGGCCAGCTCCAAGGAACAGTTAGTGTTTTAAAAACTATTCCAGATACGGAGGAAGAATGAAAACCTATGAAATGATCACATCCTTGATACTATAAGCCTGACAAAGGACAAAAAAAAAAAAAAGGAAAAATTCAGACCCATATTATATATGCATATTAATGCAAAAAATCTAAATAAAAATGTAACCAATACCATCCAACGGTATATTAGTTTCCCATTGCTACTATAACAAATTACCACAAATTTAGTTGATTTAAAAAGTTCAAACTTATTATACTACTGTTCTGTAGGTCAGAAGTCTGGTACAGGCCTAACTGCACTAAAGATCCAGGTCACCCAGGATGACCTCCCTACTTTAAAGCCAACTGATCAGTTACCTTAATTACACCTGCAAAGTTCCTTTTGCCATGTAATATAACATTCACTGGCATGACATGGCAGGGAGGGGGACTGCTCAGTTTTGATGGGGAATCAAAACTGTACCTGCCACAAGCAATATATTGAAAGAATAACACACCAAGACCAAGTGACAGTCATTCTAGGAATGAAAGGCTGACTTATTATTAGAAAACCTGCTAACATAATTCATTATATTCATACCTCAAAAAGGGGGGAAAAAAACCACATCTGTCTTAGAAGATGCTAAAAAGGCCTTTGAATAATATTCAGCATCAACTCCAGATATTTTAAATTCTAAGAGCTATACTTCTTTAACTTGATAAAAACTGTATATACCTCAAATGACAGTAGTGCCTTAGTGGTAGAATGCAGGACAGTCCTTCAGGTCAGGGAAAAAAAAAACAACACCTGTCCATCATGCCTCAGTTCCGGAAGTACTGCCCAATGTAATTAGACCAAAGAGTAAAATGATAAACATAAATATTGGAAAGGAAGAGGCAAAAGGATAAATATTTGTAGATGTGACATGATCACCACCCTGAAAAGCCCAAGGGAATCAACTGAAAAACTATCAGAAGCAGTAAGAAAGTTCTAGTAAGGAAGCTGGAGTATAAAGCAAATAAGAAAAATCAATATCTTTCTTCTACTCCTGAGAAATCCAGTTAGAAAATACAATGGGTGAAAATACCCTCTTATCACGACACCACCAAGAAGAACAACAGGTAATATAATACCTAGAAATGCACTTAAGATGAAAAGCATGGGCCCCGTAAAGTGTCGGTCGTTTCACGAAGGGCCAAAGAGAGGACAGGGCCATAGACTGCAACAGACCAGGTGATAAACCTAATGCAATTCTAGTTAAAATGTCAATGGCAGGGACTTCCCTGGTGGTCCAGTGGGTAAGACTTCTCGCTCCCCATGCAGGGGGCCCGGGTTCGATCCCTGCTCGGGGAGCTAGATCCCGCGTGCATGCCGCAACTACGAGTTTACATGCTGAAACGAAGATCCCACGTGCCGCAACTAAGACCCGGCGCAGCTAAAATAAATAAATAAATAAATAAAATATTTTTAAAAAGTCAATGGCGGTTCAGGATCAAATTATCATAGTACTCATTTGGAATAACAAACGGATAAAATAGACAATAAAGAAGAGTAATGAAAGGGCTTTGTCCTGCACTGACTTGAAATACATGATAAAACTAAAGTAGTTAAACAGTGTGGTACGACTGCAGAAATAGACTTGTGGGAAACAATAGAAAGTTTAGAAGTACAACCGAGCGTACTGAGAGACTGTATTTACGAGCAGACGGTGTTCAGACCATATATAAATACCTATCCCCTGCAGCCACCAGCCCAGGACCCAGTCACCATCTCTGCAGCAATCAGCCCCCAACAGCCAGGACTTGATCAGTAACTAACAGTTTCCCTAATTTTGCCACCATTTCCAATTTAGAACCAAATGAGAGAAAGCTGAATATGTTCCCCTAACCAAGCACATAGGACACCCTGCTTCCAGCTGGCCGCCCCCAGCTTCCCCAGGCCCACAGCCTCGCTCAGGGAAGCCCTGAAGCCTCACCTTTCCCAGTAGAAGGCTCTCCCTCCCCTCTGCCTGCCTTTGAGATCCGGCCAACTCCCTTTGCTATATACAGCAAGCTGTGGCTAAACAGCCTTTGCTTTTTTCATTTAGGAGGTCTTTGTTTATTTCCACAATATCTACTGTGGCCGGGTGCCCTCAAGTTCAAGTGAGTGGGAGAAGGACAGAGTATTCAACAATATTCAACATTTGAGGGGGAAAAAAGAGAGATCTGTACTGCATACCCACATCAAAATAAGTATCAGACACATCAAAGAACCAAATGTAAAAAGGAAGTCGTGAAAACAGTAGAAGGAAACATGGATTGCTCGGCACCACCATCCCATGAGGAAGGCCAGACTGGTTGATGCGTGTTATATCATTCACAGGTGAGACGCTCAGGTCCAGCAAGGCGAGCGGCAGAGCCAGGATCTGAACCCAAGCGTGACTCCCAGCTCCCAGCGTAAAAGGGACGAGTGGGTGGGAATGGGAATGACTAAGAGACACTCCCCTTCCAGGACGTGGTAAGGCTCCGGCAAGCTGCCAGCAGTCAGCCGGATCTGGGCAGACAGTGCCTGGTGGTGGGGACCTTCCTGGGAGGCGGCGTGGCCAGGGCCGAGGCCCCGCCGGAAGCGGACTGCTCACCTGTTGGGCTTGTAGCCCATGCTATCCATCAAGCACGCCTGGTCCCTGTCTCGCGGGAAGCCGTGCAGCACCCACCCTCTCTCAACGCAGTCCTGCTGGTCCAGGCGCTGCCTCAGCACCTTCATGATGATGTAGCTGGGGACTGCAGAGAAAGGAAGACAGCTGGTCACTCTGCCGCCCTGGCCACCTCTCCTGACCCAACAGGAAGGTGAGGGAGCCTCCGCAGCCATGGCCCACGGCCTTCCTAACTTTATTTGACCCTGATTTGAACAGGTGAAGAGGCCGTTTTAGGTGGACAGGGCTGTGGGTGCCCGTTTCCCAGGACCCTCCGAGGTCCTAGCAATGGGAGGAACATGGCCACCCAAGAAGGGAAAAAAGCACTGGGTGACCTTGAGCTTGAGCTTGAGTTTTCCCTGACTTTGACAGGATATATGCCCATCGGCCGCCAGGGTAGCTCCCAGCCCTCCAGTGATATGTGGGCATCCCTCCCCGATCCCCCTGCAACCGCAGGGATCCAGTTTTTGCAGCAAAAAGACTTTTCACAGAAGCATACCAATCCCCAGTGGAAGGTCTGGTTTTCCTCCAGTGGGATGGCAATGGTGCCCCCGAGGCTCTCTGCTAATTCGGGATACACAAGCAACCCCCTTCTTTTCCCCTTGCCCCAGTTCTCACCTCCTTGATGTTCAGAATCAAATCTCTCTCAAGAATCACAGCTTTAGTTATAACCAGAGACTGAAATCAAGTCTCAAGGAGATTTTGAGAAGCCTCTTGTTTACATTACTGCAATTGACATTTTCCTGAAATTTATACCTCTCTTCTCAGATTCATTAAAAGGCCTATGTTGCTAATGTACTGCGTTCTAGCAATTTGCACTGCATTTCCTGCACTTTGCATTCATTTTCCCAGAGATACTTGGTAAATATTACCATTGTTTGCTATGAATGTGGGCCCCCCCCACAACGAGCTGGTTTCCTGGAGCTGCAGTGACAGGGCGGCTCAGCAGCCTTTCTGGAGATACCCCGTTCCCTCCGTGAGTCAGCCAAGTGGCCCTAACGCACATGCCAAAGGCCCCCGGCTGACAGCCAGGTGAACGTGGCGGTGAGAGATTCAGAAAAATTACTGCTTTCCTCCACGGCTGTGACATGCCTGGTTACTGCCCTGCGGCCAAAGAACTATAAACCTCATCTAAGTCATTTGCATTTCCCTGATTTTGTTCTTTCTTACATCTTTCAGCCTTTCTTCCCCAGTCCCTAGGAAAGAGCAGGAAAGGGATTTTGCTCTAATGAGAAGATTTGGCTGAGACAGATCAGTGAGAAGTTGATACAGCTAATCCCATCCCTTCCCTGCTTAAACCTGCCATGGCTCCCCAATGCTCTGGGGATAAGAGCAGTACCCTTCCCCGTGGTCAACAGGACCCTGCAGGACCCAAGTCCTGCCTCCCCTCGCTGTGAACCTCCCCCAGCTCTTCGCCTCCCCTTGAATGTGCCGGTCCCTCCATCCAGAGCATCCTTCCCTCATGCCTTGCCCGGGGCCAGGCCCCAGAGGAAAGTCCGCTCCCTGGACGGCCCGTCGCTGGGTTAGCACCTGTGCTTCTTCACCTTCACTTGCCACCCCTGTTATTAACTCTCTGGCTAATTCTTTGTGTAACGCTGCCTCTCACGAGGACAAAGGACCATGCCCACCTTGCTCTTCCATGATTAACACAGTGCCTGTCAGATAGGAGGCATGGAGTAAATAGACAGGAGCCCTCCCTTTTCAAAGCTGCACTGCAACTAAACAAAGATGTTAAAACCAACTCGACCAGGCTTTGGGGAGCTCAGAAGAAGAGAGGAAGGGAAGGAGCTGGGCTGGAGGCACACACGAATGCGGGGGCTGGTCTCAGCCCTGCCCTTAGGTGCCAACCGACCTCCCCTCGGTCAGGCAGGCTCTCCCAGTCTGTTTCCTCAACCACCAAAGAGGATGCCGGGACCTCTCACCACAGGATCAACACGACGCACAGCTCCAGGCATGTGGGAGATGGCACTCAGAAATGGGGGCTGGTACTTTCCAGTTTGGGAGATGTATGTCAGGAAACAATGTTTCATGAATATGCTCATGTTTTCCCCAAGGTCAAGGTCACGGTGTGCTGAGTTGGCGCCTGGGATAAAGGATGGTTGACTTCAAACAAGCCTGGGCAGTTAAAGATGGAGAGACTTAGGGCTTCCCTGGTGGCGCAGTGGTTGAGAGTCCGCCTGCCGATGCAGGGGACACGGGTTCGTGCCCCGGTCCGGGAAGATCCCAC